ATTTTTTTTTTGCGAATCAGAAAAAAAAGGACAGGGCGATCCGAGAAGCAACAAATTAAATTGGTTTAGCCTAAATGGCTGTAGTACCTCATCTGTATAATCCTACACCATTGGTAACTCTCTGTAACTAAGTGCTAAACTCCCTGTCAACTGTTAGACCATATAACAGTTACCTGTTTATATAGAGTAACATACAGATTAATAAACACGGCTCAGCAGAAGTAGTCGAACTGTTATGAGCTGCGTATTCGTGTATTTGTGTACAATAGCTAATGGACTGAATAAAGTATCCAAGTATCTCTCTATAGTAGGTTATATATATATATAGATGCTATTAAAGATACCATCAAGAAGACCACCAAACCTCATTTATTACACTTTTTCATGAAGTAGAACAGAAAGTGGTAGCGCACTCAATTTAATTCAATTCAATTCTTTATTTCCATACCAATATTGCAGACATCCAAAATACAACTATAATGTTGCCTGAATCTTGAATGGCATTGGTATTTACATCATTACATTAAAATAAACACATAACATTATTAGTACATACATATATACATATATACAAGTCCCAATTTACTCAGTGTTGGTCTACGTTTAGCCCTTTTTGTCATAATGAAGTTTACCAACATAGATTTAACTTATGTTACAAGTGAATCCAATATAAAGGAAATACAGATGAAAATCATGACATGTGTAACAAAATGATATTAAAACATAGATGTCCCCAGCAAACATAGCAATGTTGTATCGAAGGTCAAGTCTAGATACAGTGACTGTTTTGGGTAGATTCTCAAAGCAAAGGTAGAACAAACGTAGCCTCCACAGCATGCCAAAAACTGGGGGTTTGGAGGATCTTCAGGGTCTTCGGAAGCTTTTATGTGCTATTTTCTGATTGCATATAGACAACATAGCCGGCCTGGTTGAATTACCCCCGTTTTTACAACTGGGCTAATCAGAAAACAGCCGAAGACCACCAAACCCCCAGTTCTATAAGCCTGCTACGGAGGCTAATCAGAAAACAGCCGAAGACCACCAAACCCCCAGTTCTATAAGCCTGCTACGGAGGCTAATCAGAAAA